TCAACTAGCCATGTACTCATTTTAATTATAAAGTATTAGAAACAAAGCAATATGTCACAAGATTGTCATAAATAGCTGAATCCCTGCCAATGTCACAGTGCATTTTTCAGCAGAATGAAGTCTGATACTTTTCTGTTCTGATGATGCTAATTATAGCAAGAAAGAACCCTTAAGAAGGACCTTGTTTATGCTTATTTTCATCTAAAGTAAATAATTTGTGTGTTTTCATCCTGGGTTCATTGAGACATTAATGTTCAAATGTAGTTAAGAGCATAAGTTCATTTCAAAAGCATGCTTGGAATTTGCAATTTTATAGTTTATAACAAGAACCAGACTGATTCAATACTTTCTAATTAACATCTTTAACCACTGCCCACTTAAGCAGGTAAGTGATTATTTGTTGTACAACAGAAAGAGAACTGTGATGAATTTCTGTTTCTTCCCTTCTGCTCTGTGGTGCCTGCAGGGCCAGCCCCTCGCTGTCTACAGGCCGATGAAGGAGCCCTCATACCCTGGCTTCCTACTTAGGCCACCACACTACTGAGGTCGGCAGGAGAGGACCATTGCTCAGTGGCCCCAAACTGCTCAGCTTGACCTGGATACCCAATCTCCCCAATGGCTTATCCGAATTAATCCCATTATTTTCCATATCCCACCAGAAGGCTGAACACTACCCCCAACCCCAATCAGAGCTTCCACATTGTGCCTTCTGCTGCCGTTCTCTACCTCCACTCATCTGACCCAACTTTCTACTCTTCCCTAACCTCCCAAACTCTTCCGCATGCCATTTGGAATTTGTGGTCTGTCATAGCAAAGTCCCCTAGATCCTCAGCTGCTGCTCTCAACTTCTCAAGCTAGCGTGACCTAATTGAAACCGGGGTGCTTCCTACAGACACCATCTCTCCTTGTTTATTCATTTATTTACTTTTATTATTTCTCACAGTGCCAGTACCACAGGCCTTGGAGATTGGGGTGAGTGTCCTCCTAGCACCCCATGGATGCTTCAGACCATATCTCTTCTTCCTTTAAGCACCAGCTCCTTTAAGTTCAAGCCTTTGGACTTTACCAGCCCTCTCTGTCGCTGCTGTCTACACCCCTAGCTCCTCCTCGCTCATTGCAGACCAGAACACTTCCCTGTCTTCCTATCACTAGTCCCTGTCTTCATTCTAGGAGATTTACACCCAGCACCTTGGCGTCTTTTATCCTGGATTGGTTCTCTCCACCTCAGTCACCAACTTTGACCTTTCTGTTGCCAATAACTGGACTGCTCCAGGGTCTTTACTTCAAGCATTTATCTCTTGAAGCAGTATCTTCCATGCTTCCAGTATTCCTTCAGATCCCAGCAGTCCTTCAAATTCATTTGAACCTTTAATTTGTTGACCCCTCCCTTCCTCCTGAACCCGAACAGCTAAATAATATNTCCTTCAGATCCCAGCAGTCCTTCAAATTCATTTGAACCTTTAATTTGTTATCCCTCCCTTCCTCCTGAACCTGAACAGCTAAATAATATGGGGAAACAACACTCAAGCATGTTAGCTAGCTTCTCTTTAAGTTCGTGGTCACTACACCATAACTCTACTTGATTTTCTTAATATATTAGTTTCCCTCTTCCCCAAAATGACTATTTTACTTCTTTCCCTCTCTCCTAATTCTTCGCCCCACTTGTGTTGGTCTGATGATCTTGCCCCCTCATCATTTTCTCACCGTTCCCTCAAACGTGTATGTGTGTGTGTGTGTGTGTGTGAGAGAGAGAGAGAGGGAGAGAGAGGGAGGGAGAGAGGGAGATAGGGAGATGGGGGCTGGTAATCAAATTTACCTCACCACTCNAGAGAGAGAGAGAGAGAGAGAGAGGGAGGGAGGGAGAGAGGGAGATAGGGATATGGGGGCTGGTAATCAAATTTACCTCACCACTTTGACGTCTCACAGCAGTTGCCTCCTTACCCTCGGTGCTCTGGCTGTATGGGGCCTTCTCTCTGTTCCTTGTACACAACACATTCCTTCCCACTGTAGGACTATTTACACTACATTATATTATGCTGTAAATTTATTGGTAGCTTTAGCTCTAAAGTTTGCTTTCCAGAGTATTCCAGTAACACGACAGCTATTCCTTTTCTTCATTTTTTTTTGGCCCTTTATTTTATTTTTTATGATCATTAGAGCATTCATTGACTTTAGGATAGATCTGAAAGCATTTCAGATTCACCATCGAATCAATAAAACACTTTTATTTTCCTCTAGTACTGTGAAACCTGCCAAAAGATGACAAACAAATTAATTTGCTGTGCATTTGCTCGATAGGAATAAGGGGCAGCGGGCAGAACACTATGAGGAAAAACAAGTTTAATGGAACGTTAGAATTGGGAGTTGAGATGACTTGGTTTTTGTGAGTTTCTTAATTTAATAGATGTTATATTCTAAGCATTTGTAAGCTCAACGTGTTTTTCTTTACTCACATTACAGTGTNGAGTTTCTTAATTTAATAGATGTTATATTCTAAGCATTTGTAAGCTCAACATGTTTTTCTTTACTCNTGAGATGACTTGGTTTTTGTGAGTTTCTTAATTTAATAGATGTTATATTCTAAGCATTTGTAAGCTCAACGTGTTTTTCTTTACTCACATTACAGTGTATCAGTGGTCAGCAGTTGGGTGTTTATTTGCCTCGTGCATCCCAGGCACCTTGTGGAGTCTTCTGAGACTCCGGAGGAGCAGGGTCTGCAGAGGTGGAAGGGCAGGTGTAAGGTGTGGGCCTGGGTCTGGTCCACCCAGGAGGCACTTCAGCCCCAGGTTCATGGATGAAAGGGACCAGTGGAGGGGATTCTGGGAATTGTACTTCTTGCTTCTGAGAGAAGAAGGAAAGGAGAGGGTTTAGGATGTGGGGGAAAAGACATGCTGCTCCCTTACCCTGCTGGCTTAGGGAGAGCGCACAAGAACCACTTTCCTGGTGGAGCCAAGTGGGGACTTTCTAGCCGTGCCAGGTGGTCCCAGGCCCCAGGGAGTGTGGCCTCCTACACAGTGTGAAGCACAACTTCCTTGCTGATTGTGATTAACAAAACAATAATTACCTAACTGAGGGCTTTCGGCAGGTCATACACTGTACTAAACGCTTTATACCTGAACTCTTCTGACCCTCACAATTTACCCATGATTGTGGCAGGAACAGTGAGCGTCATTGACACCTGGGTCGGGAATATCTGTGAAGCCATCCTGGGCCCCTGTTGGAGATCAAAGGGTCCTGACCTCCCTGAGAGCCCTGGCTGAGTTTTATCAGCTAGGATGCTCAAGTTATTTACTAGCATTTATCCATCCAGGATTCACCTGGAGCAGGCTCCTGCCTCTCCTTATGTGACATTTCTATCACTGTGCTGGGATGCAGCTGCATCTTGCACAGTTCCATGTCGCCAGACCAGATAACCAGGCTTAGGCCTCACTACAGCCCTGTCCTGCTGGTCATCTCCTCTCTGGCCCCATTCACTCCATTCCTGGGACTCTAGAAGAGTACAGGGAATGGGGAGCACTCTGAAGGCAGGAACTAGGGTGCACGAAGCCGGTGGGCATGAGAGCAGCTTGGAAGGGGCCTTGGTGTGGCTCGTCCCACCCTTTGCTGCCAGTCTGACTGGCTGATGTGGAAGACCAGGAATAACAGAAGCCCTTAATACCGATGAGTTAGTTCTGAGATGTTCTGCAGCGTGTGCATGCGCCCACACCCACACCCGCACCCGCACCCCCACCCGCACCATCTTGCACCAAGAGTTGTTAACAGGATGAAGTGAGATGATGCAGGTGAGTCTGTTTTGTAGACTGTAGTCCTAGGTGTGGGGCCCTGGAAGACTGTCCGTCCCTGTGGAAGAATTGTCCATCCCACTCTGCTGATACCAGGTTTGGGCATGTGGCTTGTTTGGCCCGTGACAGCCGAGTAGACTTGGGGGCATTCCTGGGAAGACGATGGAAGAGCCAGCGCAGGGTCCTCTCTGTCCTGTCTCCCCTGCCTCTGTTTTTGTCAGGATGGAGCCCCTGTCAGCGTAGGTTTCTGGTAACTTCTGTGAGCAGGCAAAACTCTTTGCTGACCCAGGATGGATATGCATGTCAGTGAGAAATAAAACATTGTTTTAACGGAGTTTTCAGGTTGGTTGATACTCAGAATGGCCTCGCCTAGCCCAGCTGATACAAAGGTAAACCCTGGAAGTCTTAGGATGCTTCTGGAAATCAATACTCAGCTGTGAAGCGTAATGCTACTACCAATAACCAAGATTGGAACAGGGAAAAAATCCTCGGTTTCAGGTGAAACAGAGAGAAAGCTGCCTTTTTACTCTTTGTTGTATCTCTTCTTTTTCTCTGTATCTTGTGGTTTGGCCTTCAGTAGGAGTTCGGGTTTTAACTGGCATACAGACATCCCAGTGTGCAGAAAACGTGACACTTTATTTTTACCATTTCTTCACCTTCATTGTACACTTTTTGCTTTATATTAGTGTTAGGGGACATGGTCAAACTGAATATTACCTTTAAAAATCACTTTATACATTTGTACTCCATTATCTTTTTATGTAGTATTATTCAATTTGCTGAAAAATATAATTTATAAAATTGAATAGCTTGTTTGAAGGACACTTAGTAATATCACCACAGTTTATATAATAAAAATCATGCAATTTAAAAATTAAGAAAAAAATCTAAAAAGTTTTTTTTTTAAAAGTAAGGATTCCTGAAACTATCATGCATTTAGTTTGTTTTTAAGTGAAAATAAGAATGCTTTAAAAATACTACTGCCATTGAAATTTATTTCATGAAATAAATATTTTTTTAAAAAATCTGATTTTGTACATCAGCAATGTATAGGATTTAAAAAAAATTAATATCATGTGACTTGATCAGGGAAAAATAAAATGAATGACTTTCCAAGGTTGTTTCATATATATATGTGGGTGTATAGCCTTTCATATGTGTCTGTATTTTTTGTATGTGTGTGGAGAGAGAAATTCATTATTTTGTGTTTTTTTTTAGGATTTCTACTGTATTCTTGCACAGAGAGTACAAGAACAATATCAAGAAGCATGCAGCCTTCTAAGGTATGCATTTCCTGTACATACTTTTTGCACTTTTAGAGGAAAGTCATTGCTATTTGATATTTTTTACTTAAAATTCAGGGTAATCTCCTATAAATATCTACTGTGTTGAAAGCCAGCAGGGTGTATTGAAAAGTACATGGGCCTTGAAGACATACAGACCTGGATCTGAATCCCAGTGTTATCATTTATTAGTTATGTGTTCGGCAAGTTAATATACCTAATCTAGCCTCAGGTTTTCATCTATAAAATGGACACAATACTACATTTCTTTATGTTGTAGATTAAATAAGACAGATTTTTTTAAACCTTAGTTTTTATCAGGATACCTAGAACAGTGCCTGAGACTTAATACATATTCACTAATATTTGTTGAAAAAGTGAATGATTGAATGAATGATTAGTGTAGGTAAAATAGTAAAACAGTTATATAAAGCCTATGAGTTTGCATCGATTTCTGGATCCTTTATTATCTTCTACTGCTCTGTCTCTTCCTGAAATATAACCAAATCAGGCAGTGCAGTCATCTGTCAGAAACCAGTCGCGTATTTGTGTGTGCATGTGTGTGTTTGCACATGTGCACATGTATGTACTTCAGAAGACTGTTCATTTTACGATTTCCTAACACAAATGCATCAGATAAGGCAAATACTTCTTCATGCTTTTAGTTTACATGATTCATGTATTTACCACAACTGATACCAGACCAGTCATATATTACCTTACCGAAGAATAAGTGTGTGAATTAAACTAGACTGTAAGACAAGAGGAAATGTTTTTAAAAACAAGTATAATGATCACCGAGAAGCCGAGAGCCGACAAGCTTAAAAGCAGCTCAATTGATTTCTGTTATTTCACTTATTTTTGGTTTTGTTACAGCAGTATTCTCATAGCTCATTTATGCCTCCTGATCTGTTGGCCTCACTGTACCTCGGATCTTCTGTTAATATTCTATATTTAAAACCAGCGGAGCGCTGACTCCCTCTGCGCCCGCGTACGTGCAGTGAAGGCTCAGGATGGGAGCTGGGAGCCGGGGCAAGGCCTTCAGGCGGCGCAGCCCCTTGGCTGCTCTGCTCTGCCCGCCTGCGTCACCCCTCTCGCTGGCTGAGGACTGGCTTCCTCTGCTGTCTGGGGTGCGCTTCGTCAGAGTTGCCCACAGATGGTGACCTTGGCTGACAAGACTTCCAATCCGGCTTCCACACCTTGCTGCTGGAGGCTTTCTCTGTCCCTCTTCCAAATCCTGTGAGAAAAGGAATCTGATTAGGCCCGCCCAGCCGTGGGCCAGCCGTGGGCAGAGGGAAGAACAAACATGGCTTCAGGGCTCGCGGAGGGGAAGTAGGGGGAGCAGGACCACTGCCTACTGTCAGCACCTGAGGGCATGCCACGGTATTCTTTCAAAAACGAAATTAAAGGGGTTCCACTTAAAAAATCATAACATCTGAAAATAATACAAGTTATACTTTAAAGCCAGATTCGTTTAGTCAGGTACCTCATCTCCCAAAGAACGAAGGTAAAATCAGGAGATTCAGAGTGTTGTTAAGCCCAGTCTCCCAGAAGGGATTGTAAATTGAGGATGTCTCAGCGTTCTAAAGCAAATTCTGAGAAGAAGCTATACCTAGTAATGCCTTGAAGTTCATGGAAAGCTAAAACCTGGAAATTATTTAACAATAAAGGAAGAATAGTTTCAGAGACTATGTTGAAACACTGTGAAAGGGGAGCAAATATATAAAAAATAAACACCAGGTGTGCTCATTAGAGTAGAAAAGCACTGTAGGTCAGGGAAAAGGGGTTTAGAGTAATTTGACTAAGATAAAAAAATCCAATATTAAAACTTATACTTTTCCAAAAGGAGATGCTTTAATTATTTTAGTTTCAAGAGACATTCTGCAAACGATAACGAAATACAGTGGAGTTCTTTTGTTATTGGCTGAATGTTTGTGTCCTGTTGCAATTTCATATGTTGATGCCCTAAACCACCGGTGTGGCTGAATTTGGAGATGGGGGTCCCTTAGGAAGTAGTTAAAATTGAATGAGGCCATAAGGGTGGGGCCTTGGTCTGATAAAGTTAGTGTCCCTATAAGAAAAGACACCAGAGAGGTCACCAGAGCAGTCTCCGCCCACGCTCACGCACTGAGGAAAGGCCGTGTGAGGATATGGCGAGAAGGTGGCCATCTGCAAATCAGGAGGAGAGCCCTCACCAGGAACCAGATCAGTCAGCACCTTAATCTTGGATGTCTAGTCTCTATAACTGTGAAGAAATAAATTTCTGTTGTTTAAATGATATAATCTGTGGTATTTTGTTATGGCAGACTGAGCAGATGGTGTCCTTCAAATCATTTTTTGTCATGAAATTTGTTATCCACACAGCATTGCTGTATTCTCTATGAGTTTTTCCCCAGGCCAAAACAAAACACCCCCTGTTTCCCAGAGAACTCTGAGTAAGGCAGCTAAAGCTAATGTAATTCTCTTTAAAATGTGTAAGTGCTGTCAACATCTTTCCTAAGTCAGAGATATGTACCTCTGGTTGCCTCAGTGGGGTGTATAGATAAGGAGACTTTACTGTAGGGTATGAAGGCCAAAATTTGAGTTAAGCTGATTTTTTTTTTTACTTAAATATATTTTAAAAGTTACATATTAATTTATCTGTTTGGAAATGGAATGCAAATCTCAAGCCCATAAGCCCCACAGCTGTTTTTCTCAGCTCTGTTAAACTTTCTTATTGGGGCCAAAATCTCAGCCTTGGGCAGTAATAGGAATAAAAGGCCATTGCCAGGACATCTCAACAATCCATGATCCTGTCATATGACTGTCAAGGAATAGGGGTATATAACATAGACTTGTGACTGAGTGGTAGAGGTCCTTAGGCATGGTGAAAGTGATTCAATCAGAGACTGGAGTGGATTTTAGCCATAGACTGTTGACTTATTCATATTCTATCATCCAGTGAACAAAGTTCAAAAGACACATCTGATAAGGGCTTAATATCCACAACTTTTAATCAGAGGTTGGCCTTTAGGCCACTCCTGGCCTGCAGGTTTGTTTGTTGTTTTTCCTAACATTTAAACACTTAAAGATCTCTCATAAAAATCAAGCTTTTTTTGGCTTCTTTTTAAAAAACCCGAAGAGTTGGCTGGGTCAGAATAAGCTATACCCCTTGGGACAGGTCTGGTCCTCAGTCTCCACCACTCCCTAATGTCTTTGACCTATCCCACTCTACTAGGTCATATTACTTGTGGGTCATTTGAGATCAGGGACCTTTAAGGTGGTTGCTCTAGACCAACCTTCTTTTTCTCAGAAGCCTCTGGGGGATGTGTCAGAACAACAGGCTCAAACCCTGGAAATCGGTCACCTTTAGTCCTTATGCACAAGTAAAATGTGCAGCAGGGATTCTATTAGAATGGTGTCAGTGTGGAAAACAGACAAAGGAAAACTCTACGCTGGGCAAAAAGCTAGTCTCTGGAAGAAAATTGAATTTTACAACTTCAAAAGTAGTATTTGCCTTTCTACTTGATGTTTAGAAACATCCTGGGTTTTGTTACATGAGGCAGGAGTAAGCGCGCTCCTTAGCCTCTCTGAGGACTGGGCAATACTGATTGGTGGTGGCATGGACAGCCTTCAGGTGTAAACAAGGGCAGGACGGGAGTGCCTGGGTAGGGAATGAAAAGGGGGGGGGGCGCGGGAGAGACTAAATGAGACCCAAAGGAGGGCGAAAGGAAAGAGAAGGGAGGAGCATCACAGGTTCCCTTACCAGCTCTGCCAAAACTGGTGCTAAGCTGCGCTTGTGCCCTGGACTGCTATTGTTCAGCAGTCCAGCAGGTGGCGCTCCGAAACACCAAATAAACCTCCCTCCTTCATTTAAAAAATTGTGCTGCCTGACGCTTCCAGTGTTGACAGTTATCAAAACTGGAAATGATACATGCCTGACTACTCTTTATTTGAAAATATATAAATATGTATTATATAGCTATATAAAATATTTCTATTCGAAGAATGCAATTTAGGAGGAAAATTGGAGACATTTATGCTCTCTTCGGTTTTCTTAAAATTGTCCTTATACCTTAGGAAGTATAAGTTTTTTTAAATTTTCACTCCAGGGTACGTTTTAGTGATTTTAGAGAGAGGAAGGGAGAGATGGGAGGGGGGAGAGAGAGGGAGAGAGAGAGAGATCGATGTAAGAGAGAAACATCAATTGGTTGCCTCCCTTATGTGCCCTCGCTGGGGATCAAACCTACAACCTCGGTATGTGTCCTGACTGGGAATCAAACCCTCAACTTTTTGGTTCTTGGGATGATGCTCCAACCAACTGAGCCACCCAGGCAGGGCACGAAGTATAAATTTTAGAAATCAAGAGAATGACAATGAATATTTATTCCAAAAAGATCTCTATTTTTACATATCCCTCTCCCAGTTTCTTAGGACTGAAACTGGTGCCCTGTTAGAGCCATCTGTCCCTACCGCGTGCCTGTGAGATGCTGAGAAAAGTTCATTGGAGGAGTCAGATTTTCTGCATTCATCCTGGGCTCACCAAGCACACCATGGCTCCATTCTCCACATTTTAGACTCTGCTTTCGGTACACCTCCATCCTCTGGGCACCCCTCAGAATGAGGCCTGGCTCGAACACCCCCACGCCCTACACACACTCTTTTCCTCTTGGCTGCCTCCAAACACTATTCCCAGACAGGTCTGACTCTATGCCCAATCCCATATAGCCACTGGAAGTGAATTTAGACTCTTGAAAAAGTCTCTAATTTGTGGTACAATATAAATGAAAGGGGGAAAATAAGCGACAGGAGGAGAAATATGCACTGGGAGCTGTGTTCTCAAAGATTTGACATTTAATAACCATAATTATGATAAGTGTGAATGTAGCACCATTGCATTTTTTAAGTCATCCTGTCCAGAGTTCAAATTCGGACTACCCCAGATATTGCTTGTTTGATGATGGCAAACAAGATAGCCCCTCTGAACCTCAGTTTTCTCTCCTGGATAATGGGGATCATAG